GCGTACATTTCATTAGATTATAAAAGAAGGAATGCTTTTTCTAATCACTCGCTATTAGTCTGCATTGTAAGCTTGATTCAAGGAATAACGTGCGTATACACGAGCATTCCTATTACGATTTCGTTGAGTATGACGTTGCGAAATAAACGAAGAAAAATGATTTGTAAATAAGAATAGAGTGTAAAAATTCGAAATGCAATTGTTCTAGAAATATGGCATATATAATATAAAACAAAAAGAAATGTTAATATAATGCATCATTAAAGTATTTAAATGTAGACTGACATTTGTTTCTAGGTCGTGTTTGTTGAAATCATGCTGTGATATGTATGTGTGTTAATATAAAAGTAATAAGCATTAATAAAAACGGCTTACCTTTACGACGAATTCTTTAATAAATAATTCTTTAATGCTAACGAAAAATATTTTATCTTCGAGATAAATATCCAAAAAACAATGTTCGATTAATTCTTTTAATTCTACAAATATCTTCAATACAGTTTTCGAAACAAGATATCGTAACTAGCGTTTTTCAAATTATGTTGCAGTTTTATTTTTAAACAAATTCACTACCAACATAAAAGACAGATTTAAAATTATTCTAAAATTCGTTTTTATATATACAATGAAGAACTTTGTAAAATATTAATACCTTCTGAAAACATTATACAAGAAAATTAATACCAATAAGATTTCTGTGGTATGCGATCCTCTTTAATATCCATTTGATCCATAATATCCATTTCAAACGTTTTTAATTTTGCCTATAAATCAATAAAAATCAGTAACATTAATTGCCTCCCTCTCTAACAATTTCGTCAAAAACATAAGTTATACATACTTCAAATGTTAATTCCTTTACATCATCTGCAGTAGTATCTTTTGGTTGTTCAACATAAATATCTGGAGATTTGTAATCTATAGTTTCTTTACTTGATATAGGAATAGGGATAACTCTGCCACTTCTAAGAGATACTCTCACACGTTCACCTTGTTCTGTATACCTCCATTCCATTGAAGTTGCTTTCCTGAAATAAATTAAATGTATGAATCTGCAAACTATACGCACACATATCTGTACACTTACATATCGAAAGGATCTATTAATTGCACTTGTACATTAACTAATAATGGTTGCTCCATACGCATACAAATCCCAGGAAAATTCTTTTTCTTGTTATATATTACTGCCTTTGTATTTAGTCCTTGTACAATGATCCAATTTCTCTCCTGTATAATATCATGAACTATTCCTTGTTTTCCTTTATCGGGGCCAACTAATACTTCCACCTAAAAAATAATATTTTAATATTGATATCTCTTACAAGCATACACAAATACATACGCGATCACCACGAAAGAAACTCCAATCTTTTATAGGTTCAAGCGGATACCACTCTCTGCGTTTTAAAACCCAATTCTGAAACTGAAAGTGTGTTGTCCATGGTCGATGGATAGAGTAGTATAATTTACGATTTGCTACTATTTTACGATTGAGATATTGTGGTTTGCCAGGTGGAGATTTCCAAAGTACCTATACACACACACATACGCACACACATATATATGTATATAAAACATTATTTTCTAATTTAAATAACACATAAAAATAAAGAAGAGCAAAATACAACACATATCAATATAAAATAAATCCACTTACACGTTCTGAGATACGGTCTATGTAGCGATCTGGTAAATTGGCATATTTTTTCGACCATTCACCCATCTTTCCAAATAAAGTAGTTATAAGCTTCATTTTTTCAATTATGAGTGTGATAGAAAATGCTGTAAAATCTTTTAAAATGTAATCAAAATCTTAGTCCCACAACGTGTTGTCTACGTCTTATAACGTGTACACATAACCTTTGAAAATATACATCAGAATTGAATCTAACCAATTTATAAAAATGCATACAAACAACAAGACAAGTCACACAGAATATATTTAAAAATAATCTATCTTAAAAAATGTAATAAAAATACATTTCTATCACGTAGGATTTAAGATAAATACAATTATAAACGTGACTTTAATTGGCATTCTTTTGGCGCCATATTTTAAAAAAATAGCGAGTTACATAAATTTACTATAAATTATAAATTGTATATATATTTTTTAAAAACAAAAATTTACGAACCATATGTTATAATAATATTTGTTAAATCACGTATGATACCTCAGAAACTGAATACATTATTAGTATTATGATTTTAGTATTAGGATGTTAGTATACGCTTTGCATACTTTGTGTACATATGAAAAGTATAGGATTAAAATGTTACTCCGATTGAAAAAATATGTGCTTCATTCACAAGTACGGCAGTTCACAATACTTCGTATGAATAATACAACTCAAGTGAAAATGAAAACGATGCAGCACTGCAGAGAATTGAAATATTCAAATTTAATAAATGCAAGTTTTAACGTACATAGGTTATTCTTCACTGAAAATAAAAATCGAAACCTTCTATTGCCACCATTAATGACTAAAGTTATTCCAAGAGATAATATTTTAAAAATATTGTGGTCGTATTTTTATATAAAAAAAACAATTGATTATGAGTTTGATAACCAAAACATAATGCAAGGAGTTAAACAGGTATATGTTTATAGACCTGTTGAATGTTAAATGTAATTATTCTTTAATAAAATGCATATACATTTCAATAATATTTATATACATTATTTAATATAAAGTTATTATTCGGTAAAATTCTAATTGAAAACACTTTCTAGGCACTACTGGTAATATCTGAAGCTTTGAGTAAACAGAACTATGAAACGTTAGATGGTATTGTAAGTCCAAAAGCTATAAAAGTACTAAGACATAGAATTAATCGTCTCACTCCTAGTCAACAAGAATTAATCAATATTAATCCTGACATTTTTGGATGTTTCATTCGATCATTATCATCAAAAAAAATAAAAGGTGATTTTATGTTAATACAACCATATTTTTCATTATTTTTTTTTTCATTTGATGTAATTATGCTATAGGTAGCAAGGATGCAATCGTTGAAGTAGCAGTATATGGAATGACAATGAGAGGTATTCCTGTGGAATTAGAATCATATATATATTTCTGTTATGTATTTCAAAGAAAGTATAAAAATGGAGTGGGAGGTCAATGGATAGTAAAGTTAGTGAATCATACATCAATGTTTATTTGATTGAATAAAATTTTTACTTTGCAATAAATTATTAGTTATATATCGTATAGTGAATATTTTTTTTTCTTTAAGTCATAGTGTATACAATACTAAAAGAGAAGAGGATTTTTGTTTAATAGCTGTATAAATATATTTATTATTTCAGATAAAATTTAACATAAATTTGAAAAGTCACATTTTTAAATCATATTTAATTATTTATATTGTATTTCTTAAACATTTATAAGTTTTAGTAAACGAGATATGTAATTTTTTATATGCAACACTGTTGCACTAATAGTGATGCCATTTTTTGATACAGAAATTATCAATGGTCCCTGTAATATAAATGTTGGTTACAGTAATCCATATTAAATTGTTTCATAGTATGCAAAAATTTTTATAATACTAGAAAGTATTACCTCGTTGATTTGGGGATTGTGAATCCAACACTCTTTCTCATGTTGATCTTGAAATAAGTTATTTCGTTTTGTGGGAATAGAATTAAAAAAATTAATTTCTACATTTGGTAAATCAAGCACTTTGATTCTTATTACATTTAAATACGGTTCCATAAAGAGTGAAATTGTAACTCTACTGCACATATTTGCTTGTTTAAACAATACGTTTATTGTTTGAGTTGAATATGACATAAGTTCATTTAAACGGTCAATATGTGGACGGTTTTCTATAACATTTAAAATATATGTTAAAAAACTAATTAAAACATTACTAGTTATAGATATAATACAATGAATGTAAGTAATGTTACTTTCATAAGTAGCATCGGTAAGACGAAATGGTTTTGTAACAGACACAGCAAACATTGGAATCTGATTTCGTTCTTTTCCTTTAAAACAACTATCAATTGCTGCAAACATTTGTCATAAGATAAAGTTTGCAAATATATATTAAAATAACAAACAAGACAAGTTTATATGCGCGTGAATACTACACAAACAAAACACATAGTATCAACAACTTACATTTTCCTACTTCTTCAAATAATTTTGTGACAGTTATATCTTTATTAATATATTTGCTAAGATGTTCCATATACAAGCCATATTTACAGTTCAATTTCTCGTAACTAGGTCGATGACTAGATGTAGAGTATGCTTGAATTAAATTTCTAAGATTTTTCTTGCTTTTATATTCATTTACAATCGGTACCTCGTGGTATATTTCGGGATTAAATTTTCTGAAAATAAATATACAAGCTAAATATGAAGATGAAAATAAAAAGGACGGGAGAAAATCGAAAATTTACTTTGAGGGTAAAGTTTGACACATGTCTAAGATAACAATTAATAGTTCAGGATCATTCTCAAGAAACGCAGACAACAGTTCGCTTTCGCATATTGCATCTTTTCTTAAATATGTTTCTGGAGCATCTATTGCAAGCATGTAATTTTCTTGCATTTTGAAACCATGACCAGCAAAATAAAACAGCCCTATATAAAAAAAGACAAATTTGAACGATGGTACATTTTGTAACTTGTACTCTTTATTACATCTTACCATATACACCTTCTTCTAAGGCTTCGCTAAATATTTTTATTGCATTTTTCATTTGAGTGATTGTCAAATTGAGAAGACAAATTACTTCAAATCCTATTTCTTTAAGAAGATTACCAATGCATGCAGCATCATTTTTAGATGTTAGAAGACGTTCATGGCAATCATATTTCTCATTTGCAATAATTAAGGCTATTTTTGCAACTGCTTTAAGTTTTGGAAAATCCATCTACGGAAAAATGTAATTGGTAAATTATGGCATAAGGTGAGATAGTGAAATGAACTAAAAATATTGTCCATTTTTACTATTACACGAGTCTTTTCTGTATAAATTTCACTGATATCATTATAAATATAACAATAATATTTTCCTTCATTTTTCAAACTAAATTGTTTTATCTGAAATGACAAGCTCAATAAATGAAAAATAATAATTCTGAAATAAGAACAACTTACATACATGCAAAATATTGGATGTTTCTCTTTCTAGTTTAGTATTATCATGAAACCATTGGTAACGTGGTTTAGAATAGTTATTGGCTTCGCAACAAATTGTAAAATTTTGACCTTCTTTAACTTCCAAAAGTGGCTGTGGTTGTTTTTCTATTGCAACAGGTATGGAAAGAATTTGTACAGTTACAGCTTTAGAAGTCAAAGTCGATATGAGAGTTCCATCATTCTTAATTTGAAATACCTCACATCTATATTCCCCTGCTTGAGAAGTACTTTAAAAATGAAATAAATTTTACAACACAGATTTTGCAAAATATTCAATAATGAATAAAAATATTTGAATATTTTTTGAAATGTGTACCTAGTTATAACAAGGTCAAGCTTGCCAGAAATACAGTGTTGCAATTGATTGCTATTATGGTACCATATGTAATTTGGTGACGGTATTCCAACAGCTTTGCAGCATAAATGAAGATGACGTCCAAATGGAACTTGCAAAATATCGGTATGAAATTCTTCTGTTGGATGCACAACAATGCTTAAAGGTTCTATAAACATTAATACTTCAAAAATACTAAATTCATAACATAAAATAATAGATTATAACAAGTATTATTATACCTGGATCAGATATAATGGAAAGAATGTCATAAAGTTTACAGTCGTTTAACAAAGTACGTAAAATCTCTATAGTACACATTTTAATATTTAATTCAGACAGTAGCTTTTGTCCAGGGGAATCGCTTGGATATTTAATCTCTTTTAAAGAGTGTATCCATAGAGTACTGTATTTACAATGTAAAATAGAACTATGTAATTAATTTTTTAAATATTTTAAATATTTTTTTCCTTACCTAAGTTGGAGTTCTTCAGCTACATGATTTGCTAATGTTATCCAAGCTGCATCTTTATTTAATGCGTTAATTATTTCATTATACAGAGTTATTGGTAAACATTCAACATACATATTTTTATCTAAACGAGTCATCTTTGATTAATTTACACTCTACATCCTTACTGTAAGAAAATATTACAAATAAAACATTTCATCACAAACGTAGTAACAATATTTTTATATTTTAAGTTGTAAAATAATGATAATTAGATTAATATTTTAATGTATTTCAAATATAAAATTTCCTTTTTATTTTTGCAATAATTTTTACATGAACAAGGAAAATGTAACATAATTGTAATCCATAAAAATCTTTGTACATCAATGATACTTCGTTCTCAATCGATACAACAGAAATGTAAAATTTAATATTTATCAATTTCGAATAATATATTTATTATTAATATATATATATTATTTATCAATATTTCCGAAATAATATAATTGAAAAAATTACATTACAATTAGGAAATATAATTTTTCATGTCATTTATAAAAAATCACAGTATAAAAAAAATATACGACTATAACTAATATTAGAGAGAAATTGCTCGGAAATAATTTTACATCATATAAAATCAATAGGATCAATAATTTTTAACGTTTAAAGTAATGTAACAAGTGTAAATGAATATAAATAATATGAACATTTTTTAACAAAGGAGTTATTTCTTTATCATTTGCTTGTCGCATGCGATGTTATCGATTCTGTTTAATAGCACACATATGAAGCACACAGATGAGACGAAGTTTACATGGGTAGTTAATATGATGATATATCAAGGCTCAGACGAAAGGAAGAAAATTAAAAGTTCAGTAAGAAAGATATGACTATGAAACTTCGCATATTAATTCTTTTAATTAATTTGCAAATGAAAATTTAGCCAAAGTGTTGATACAATAGACATCTAGCAACGACAAGGTAGAACTAATATTCTTATGATAAATATATAAATATATATAATTAACACTAAAAACGAATAATATCTTGTCTTATTTATTGATACCAGAGCGTAAATTTTCAGCAAAAATACGATTAGAAAATAGAGAAATTTGTAATTTTGTAATTTTTTATTATTGTTTTTTTTTATCGGGCGATTAGTTCCAAAGTTTCACCGCTAGATAGTTACACCGTTTCGGTGCCCATAAAACGATCAAATTTTAATTTGCAAAAAACATTGATCAAGAGGATTAATTTGTAAACTATTGCTGTCGTACTTTCGTAATTAGTATCTCAGTTTTTCCCCTCTATTCTGCTTAACCTTAACGAAATGTACGATTAAAGATTTGCATAGATCGAAGGCACGAATAATGTTGAGAATTTCTCCTAAATCACGCGTACGAAAGATGAATGGAAATATAACGTGAACGTAATTGGTGAGTTCCATCGTAACTCGTAATAAAAACAACGCTGGTGACTTTATCAGCTTTGACGATCGAGCTGGACATGGAATTTCGTTGGCCTTTGGAGATCGTAGAGGGCGCAAGAGAAAGACAGAGTGATATTTTTTTACGCAAGTCGGTATTTCAGACCGTGGAACACGAAGCAGGATACGACGGTCGTGTCTATCGAGCGGCTAGTCGATGGCGATAGGAAACGAAAGAGCGAGCTTTTTGGAACACCCCGGAAAAGTGTCGTCAGTTTTTTATTGCGGGTGCGATGGAGTGGTGGGGGATCGGTGTGACCAATGAGCCGGCAAAAAGCGGGTCCTGCGCGATGCGCGTGGCGCGCTGCGCCGCATAATCTTGCGTATCAGTGATCGGCAGTGCCATCCAGAAGGCAGTAGGTTACGGGTTCTAACGTGGTGAAATTTAAGGGGTCCGTTATTGGTGTGCGATCGGTGAAAAAAAAAAAGAAAGAAGAAAGAAAGGGAAACGGTGTGAGGGGGATAAGAGGGCACACGATAATAGGTGCACGATACTCGCGAGTGTCGGGGGATTTAGTGTCGAGCCATCATGGCGAATCCACGAAAGTTCAGTGACAAGATCGCGCTACACAAACAGAAGGAAGCGCAGGAAAGAGCAGCGTTCGAGGCGATCATGCGAGAAGTTTCGGATGTCACAAGCAGAGTAAGGAAATCCCAGTAGGTCCTTGCCATTGAGGGACATGTATTCACAATTTCCGTACACCCTTCTCGGCTCAGACGTTAGGAACGTAAACAACGAGCATTTCTCTCTCTCTCCTCGTTGTGCCGTGTGCTCCACTCTCTGTCTGCCTCTGTGTGTGTGTGTGTGTGTGTGTGTGTGTGCGCGTATTTCTATGTGAATGTGCTCCTCGTCTTGCTATACGATCGAGCGTGTGTATGAGCTTCTGACTAGCCTATTATCAGTACACTTGTGTGTTAACGCGCACAAGTACATTTACTGATCTGGCCCTCTGTTTCTCTTTTCTATACGTTATCGTCGTCGTTGTCGTTGCGTTGCCGCCGTGTCGTCGTCGTGTTGTTGGACGAAAGTGTGTGTGCCTGTACGTGTGCGTGTATGCCTATTCGCCGCGTGTAACAGTGGGATGAATACGCGTCGTATATATGTGCGACTAGTATACTACGCTCTGGTATACTACGCGAAACGTACTCTCCGCTTGTTTGCCACCATCCGTCCCGCAAGTTCTTAATAAATGCATACGTGCGCGATCGACAATCGCGTCCGTCCTGCCCGCTCTGTTCCAATCGGTGCCGTGTGTCGGTGTTTTCAAGAACATCTACGTTTCTTCTTGCGATCGATCACCCGTATGCATCTCGAATCAAGCTAGTTCGCGATTGCGAGAGCTCGCTCGCTCTGCGTTCTTCTTCGTTTCTCTTTTTGCTTCCGCGATAAATCATCGTCGTGTTTCTGTTTCTATTTACACGACACACTTTTATCCACGATCGATAGCGACCAAATCAACGGCACAGCGTTCTTCCTTTTCTCGACGTGTAGCTTTTATCGTTCGATTCAATTATTTTTTTCTCTTCCATCGATTCTCGAGCCTCGTTCGCATTCTCAAGGAGCCAGCCTCCCAATTAAATCGATCGTGTTCAACATCCTCGAATCTCGTCGCCAATTCGCGATCGTTTAGGCTACGTATCTCGCGGAATCACGTGTTTTCAGTTGGATTCAACGCGCAGTGCCCGTTCGCAGTGTGCTTTTTCTTCAGCCCAAACGCGAATCGAATGTGTTTCCCTCGAATCTGTCGCGTAGTTGTGTAAAAAAAAAAAAGAAACACGCATTATTCGTGTAATTATTCGTGGCGATATGTGTATATTCAGGCGATTACTGGCTGCAACGTCTCGTTTTCGGGTACGCCGAGTAACAATCGGTCGACGACCTAGTTTTTCTTCTCGCACGCTGGAAACGCCAATGAAAGTCGCCGCTCGTTATTAAGCGTGACACTTCCGGTTCCGGGCTCCGAAACAACTTGTCAGTTCGCTTCTGCGCGGGATCGACCCTTTCCTTGGCGGTTTGCCGTTTCAAACGGCGTATCGATACATACGTATACATACTTCGTTCGACAAAGTGTCATTAACACTAGAACTACCGACAGTTAACACTAAACCAAGTACCAAGCGGAGTTAAATAACCTCTTTTTAAAATTTTAAATAAAAATACAAATAAAAATAATATATGTTTGAGTATTCTATTAGAAATCAGAAGTTATGTT